ATATTTTTTTCTAAATTTGCCTTTAAATTTGGAACAGAACGTTCCTTACCCGCCGAAGAAAAATAAAAAAGCGATTTATCAGAAACTGGCTGATTCATGACTTATCTACGAAATCGGGGCTGTGCTTTCAATGCCTCTTTTGTTCATTCCTTCTTTATTTATCCAAAGTCCCATCCTGGCAATTTTTGCTGTTAGGCGCTCTTTTTTCCTAATCTCAAGTTGTCCCCTTACTTTTAATTTATCCCTTTTCGCCAAAAGAACCTCTAACCGTTTTCTCTCAATCTCTTCCCGCCTTTGTCTAAATTTAGAAAGTTGGTTTTTCGTTATAATTCGAGCATCCATTATGACCAAATTACGTCTATCAGGAGAAAGTGTTTTAAGGCATTCGTTAGATTTATTCATTTTATATAAAATGGATGCTTCCTTGCCAAAAGTATTAGACAAGGGCGCGATCCTCATTAATCTATCGAGATGACTGAACACAGTTTCCGGCAATTTGTTGTGAGGCATGGCAGAACCCGAACATGAAGGATTAAAGTCATCTCGATACTCAAGTAAAATATTTGAAATATACTTTTTAAACTCGACAAAGAGGATTTAAAAAAAATGGATGAGGGTTGAATTAATATCGGAATTAAAATCTAATTTTTTTAAGTGATCAAGGACCGGATCGTTTTCAATTTTAATCAGAGATTCAAATGGGTGTGATTTACCTTCTGCAAAGTCATGTAAATTTGCTGTTTCAAAAAAATCATGTAATTGTTTATAAATACGTTTCATATCAAGTGCATTAATATCGCTTTCTAATATGCGCCACAGTGGAGCAGTTATTAGTTTATTTATGGCTACAGAATAATTAAATAAGATACTATGATTATGAAAATAATTTACACCAAGTTACCGAAAAGTGTCTGGAAAATAAAGACTACCACTAAAAAGTTTGTTTCGGTTATTTTCCGGTATCAAATAGTTCTGCGTATTTAGAGCTAGCAAATATTTATTTCCTAAAGTAAATAGAGCGCCACGTAAACGAAGGTTGTAACGACCAAATAAAAGAAAATCCCAAAATGCTGTAATGAGTTTATTTTGCCACGCTCATGGATTAAAAAGTTAGAAATGAAACGAAGCTATTACAGCTAGCTCTGTACCGAAATCGCCAAAAACCCCAAAATTAAAAATTAAACTAAAGAGTTGTAATCGAAATTTTTGCGCGTAATGAGTGTATTTTTACTTGGCTTCATATACCAATACATGTTTGTATAATACCACGTGAAAAGCTATTTGTGACGTATATTTGCTGCGACCTCCAAAATCACGTGCGCGGGACTAAACATTGCTCACTTCAGAAAATATCCCCGATGATGCAGTCAGGCAGAGACCTGTGCATGTTTATATAAGGACAAATAAGTGACCATTGAACCACTCTATATTTTGGGGGGACGTTATATGCGAAGCAGCCGAGATCAAGCGTGTCGGCCTCCATATCTTGGATATGTTTCCAGGCAGACGATACCACAAAACTTACAGATAATAATTCTAGAGTTTGGAAAGCTAAATTGAATCAAAACTTTTAGGATTTAATACAAGCTACATGGACACAGATCACCAAATATTCCTACGCCGTCACCCACGAAACAAGGGCCAAAGCTATTTTTAGTCTTCCTCTCCCTTTTCCTTTTTCCCCCTTTTGCATGGCGATTTTTGTTGACTTTTTGGTGTAGAATTGAGGAAAAGGGTTTGAAAATACATTTTCTGCCAGGTTTTGGTGAATATTCATAATTTTGATGCGGAAGGATACAAGAGTTGAGAGGTTGGTTACGTTGAAATGTAGGGCCTGAAATTGCATGTTTACTTGTCTCTACTTCCAGCTTGTGTATCTCAAGTTTTTCATGAAGAACCTCATACGTGCTTTTGGGCAAGTGGTTGCCACATGTTGCTCCATCTGTGGTAGAAAGCGTTCTACCCAACGAAAATTTGGGAAAAAGTTAGAGCCGGTCTAAGATACGAGAATTAACATTGGAGTCAATGGGGAAATCTTTAGTGATCTGTGTCCACATAGAGGAATATTACATTGCCGAAGATTTCAACTATATATTTTTATTTTCGATGCAATGAGCAAAGAAGACGACAATTCCCACCATATATCTAACAAAGGCAGAAATGTCACATGCCGATAACGATGAAGTGACGGTCATTTGGGGCAATATTTCTTTCTAAAAGTTATATTTATATTTACTTTGAACACTGTTCTTTTTTTTAAAAAAAAAACCCAGCGGCTGCCAGGCAGGATACGCCCACATTTTCGAGAGATGGATAGAGAACAAGCTAACAAGAAAGTGATTTTTCCTACAATCAAGGGCCATAATTCAGGAAATTACAATTCGATATGTGCATATATCGAAAGGAACTGAGATCTTTGTGTTATAAACTTACATTTCAAGTTTCAACAAAATCGGATAAAATTGTGACCTCTATGGGGTCCACAACCTTGATATTCCAATATTTTTACGCTATTTGAGAACGAATGACGGCCATTATGTCTGTCAATTTTGGGGCGATTTTCACAAAATTCAAACTCAACTGTCCTTAGGGTGGAATGGTAATATAATAATACGTTTTTTTAATTCAGATAAAAATTATGACCTCTAATGGGTCCACAAGCTAAAAACATGATTTTTCGTACAATCAGGGGCCATAATTCAGGAAGTTAATGTCCGATATGGGCAAATATTGAAAGGAACCGAGATCTTTGGGTTATAAACTTATATTTCAAGTTTCAACAAAATCGAATAAAAATTGTGACCTCTATAGGGCCCACAACCTTGATATACCATATTTTTACGCTATTTGAGAATGAATGGCGGCCATTTTGTCTGTCAATTTTGGGCCGATTTTCATGAAATTCAAACTCAGTTGTCCTTAGGGTGTAACGGTGATATAATAATACGTTTTTTTAAATCGGATAAAAATTATGACCTCTATAGGGTCCACAAGCTAAAAACGCGATTTTCGTACAATCAGGGGCCATAAGTCAGGAAGTTACGGTCTGATATGCACGAATATCGAAAGGAACCGAGATCTTTGGGTTATAAACTTACATTTCAAGTTTCAACAAAATCGAATAAAAATTGTGACCCCTATAGGGTCCACAACCTGATATACCAGGTTATATGTGGGCGTATAAAAATCTCAGGAGATACATGTTCACGTTTATTATGACAGAGAAAAGTCATAATTTTAGTGGAACTGACTTTTCAATATTATTTATAGTAATATACCGGTAATTGTTAGTTTGTACAATTGAATTTTATTTCATTGGAAAGAACACGACAATCTGAACATTTTTGTATAAAAAATATTTTTTTTTTAGTTTTTTACAATTTTGTAGAGAGTATTAGGATTAACAATAATCCACTAATTCGCTTAGGGATATGGGCCCTGCTGATCTAATAAGCTTGGGGGTAGCTGCCTAATCTTTTAATTGGCCCCAAATCCCCCTAGGCTAATTCGAGAGTCGGCTCTAAACAAATATGGCATCGTAACCTATAGGTTACCATTTCAAATTTGATGCAGATTAGCGTAACCTATTTTGAGGTTACCATACAAGAGGCTTATTTCATACCCTGGTAGAGTGTCCACAAACAAATTGTGGACGGACGGACAGACAAACAGGGGCGACGACAATATACGTCCACATGAAAATGTGGGCGTATTAAAACAGTCTTATAATTTTAAGTAAACAAACCTCAACTTCTGTTTTTGTTCTTTTATTTACAACATATACCACAAATAATTGAAAGCATGATATAATTTGGATTACTGATGATTTATTTAGAATTTATTGATGATAAATTTAGCTAAAAACTGCAATATCTGTTAAAAACCCCAAAATGGCCGACATTTACTGTTAAAAAATTGATGAAAAACCCAACTTTGACACCTCACTGTTCGCTTATTTCTTTTTTATTTTTTTTTTACAGTGTGATACACCAAATTGTTCAGTTTTATTTGCTCTATCAAACAGTATTAAAATATCTAATGGCAATTCTTAGCACAGATTTCATGTGGCATACCTAATAGAAGGCTTGACCTCGTTTTAACTACGTACATCTTATCAAGGCCTTCACGTAATACCCTACAAATGTTGGTACTAATTTCGATTGGGTACAAGCCCAGCTTGTTAGCAATCAGATTCCTTGATCGTAGCGATTACCAAGTCTCGCACTTTCAAGCTAAAATGTCTACCTGTGACCAGAGGCGCCACAATCGAGTTACAAAGTTCAAGGTTCATTCAATGTCAAGGTTTCCGCAGAGGTTGCGATGTCACAACCTCTGATTGGACGCTACTACCCACGAGTCTGTAGATGACATAGCTATAAATTCGGGAATTGTGAAGTAAACAAGCAACGGCCAGATGTTGTAAAACTCGCAGTCGTTGCTTTAGGAACATGGGCGATTGGGTACCTGAATATAATCCACCGATGTATCCCAATTAAAACTTTCCACACAAATTTTCATACTGTTGCAAATTAGCTGACAACGATTTTATTTCTAATGTTGTAAGAACTGGTCAAGCTGCAAATAAATTGATTTTGATTTTTATCGCAAACCCTGCTCCAGTGGAGTTATCGCGATCTGAAGATAGGGTACATTTCGGGTATCTCCAGACACGTATCTAATGTAGTCGCCAGACACCTACAGAAAAGGAACTTGAACTGGGTGACCATGATAATAGCTAAAATTTGGCCTGAAAATGGCAAAAATCAGCAGAAAAACGTAATCGGCCTGTATCTCGTAAATGGTTGATTTCTGAAATCAGCGATTTTGGCTGTGATGTAGGCTCGATGAGTCAACCAAACCCTGCGAATATGAACTCAATCGGCCAACCCTCACCTTCGAACATCTGCATGATATTGCATGGTTTTCTCGCGGAATGCCTCATAATATTTGGATCTATGGGTCTGAAATAAATCCTTAATAAACCAAATATAAATATTTACCTTGACACCAGTATTTTCAGCTAATGATCGAGGTATAACTTCTAACGATTCAGCAAATTTCTTGACAGCATATTGTTCTAACCCAGGCAAACTCTGTTACAAGTAAATGTATTGTTATTAATATAATAGTCCAAACAAGCGGTTTTCATGCAAGATACGCCCATATTTTGGAAGAGATGGACAGAGAACAAACTAAAAGATAGGTTGCCAGGCAATAAAACATACGACCACAGCAGTTAAATTGTCCGAGCGGTCAACAAGGGCCGTCTCACATTTATTCTTTGTAGGTAATGGGCAGATCAGTTTGTAATTTTTGTCGTTTGTAATTAACAAGCCAACAGTGAGGCTGATGTCCCCCGCTGAAATTACCCCCCCCCCAAAAAAAAAACTGTACTCTCCATCAGTTAGAATCAAAGTTATCTTGTCCCAAAGCATCGGCCAAAGAAATTGCTTTAACAGGAATTACCTCAATTAAAAGCAGAATTATTATGTTCCAAAGTCTTGACCAATCAAATTGCTTATCGCTCTGCTTACCCTGTTAAGGTATTCATGTAATAAAACTATGCACAAAGTTTCACCACTATCACTCAGTTGTAAAAAAACCCTATAAAAACAAGCCAACAGTGAGGCTAATGTCCCCCGCCGAAATCCCCAAATAAATAGAAGACACATATTAATTAATCGCACATCTATTTTTTTCAAAAGTATGGAGCAATCAAACTGATTATCAACTATACACTAAGTTTCATCACTCTCTATCAGATAGAATCAAAGTTATCTTGTCCCAAAGCATCGACCAAGGAAATTGCTTATCTCTGCTTAGCTTTAGCTCGATATCTTAATCATTGAACTCAGTCAAGACGAACAGCTACATCAAGTTTAAACATTCTACCTCAATTAGAAGCAGAGTTGTTATGTTCCAAAGTCTTGACCAATCAAAATGCTTATTGCTCCTTAGCCTAAGCAGACAATTCTTATCATCGACCTAATAAACACCTACACAAAGTTTGAACATTCTAGCTCAATTAGAAGGTGAGTTATTGTGTTCCAAAGTCTCGGCCAATCAAATTGCTTATCGCTCTGCTTATCCTGAGCAGAAAATGTTCATTATCGAACTTAGTCAAGGTATTAATGTAATGAAACTATACACCATGTTTCATCACCCTCACTTAATTAGAACTAAAGTTACCATGTCCCAAAGCATCAACCAATCAAATTGCTTATCTCTACTTACCATATGCAGAAAATGCTCATCTTCGCACTCTATCAAGCCATTGACCTCATAAACACCTACACCAAGTTTGAACATTCTAGCTCAATTAGAAGGGAGAGTTATTGTGTTCCAAAGTCTCGGCCAATCAAATTCCTTATCGCTCTGCTTACCCTGAGCAGAAAATACTCATTATCGAACTTAGTCAAGGTAATGATGTAATGAAACTATACACCAAGTTTCATCACTCTCACTTAATTAGAACTAAAGTTATCGTGTCCCAAAGCATCAACCAATCAAATTGCTTATCTCTGCTTACCCTAAGCAGAAAATGCTCATCTTCGAACTCCATCAAGGCATTATTGACCCAATAAACACCTACACCAAGTTTGAACATTCTAGCTCAATTAGAGAGTTATTGTGTCCCAAAAAGTGTGACGGACAGACAAGAGGGACGAAGCCATTTTAATAGTCCCCTGCTTTATTTGAAAGGCGGGGGACAAAAAAGCTTGTAAAATTTATTGAAGCTAGGGCCAACATGTAGATAGTGTGGTATTGCTAAGACTACTTCCATTTTTTTAAGGGCGTTGAGCAGTCTAAAATGCACATTTAAAAGCTAGCACTGTAATTTTGGTTGATAAGATATGACATTTTTTGTTATTTGGGGTGATAAACTACATATTAATCACCAAAAAAATACCAATTTTATTTACCATCTATGTTCCAAACTTGGCCCAAAAGCATGATAAAAAGGGGTATTGATGACAACAAAAGTAGAATTTTCTCAGTTATGCCTGCATATGTTTTCATCAAATTTGGCATGAACAATGCTAATAGCAAGTCCAAAAAAAAACACAGGTCAATTTTTGGATATAGCTTTTGGTTTCTCTGGTATCCATGGAAACGCGAAAAAACGATGAGTTTTCTTGGAAATTCTATTAGTACAAGCTAAAAAGATTTATCGATAATCCCATCAGTAGATCGAAAGTAGAGGTTATAAGCGACATTTCGACACCAAAAACGTTAAAAATACCAACTCAAAGTATTTTAAAATTGTTGTTCATTATTTACCTTCAAACGAGATTTTGTGATTTTTGGTTAATTCAATGAATACATGCACAAGTATTAAAATACAACAATTCGGATGTAAAAGTAAATAATTACTTCACTGCACTACTCTAACGCACTCAAAATCACGTTATGCATTCAAAAAATAGTAATCTTTGACCATAAAAAAAAAAAATCTGTCATGTTCCTTTCGTGATTGATAAGTAGACCTGGATAATTGCGTCGGAGTAAATAAACCTGGATAATCGCGCCATACAGGGAATTCCTTCTGGCACGTAACATATTTGTAAACATGGCGTCTAAAGAAAAAGATACATTTGATGAGCGAAAAGGAATGGGAAAGACTAAAAGAGCAAAGGAACGTTTCAAAGCGTTATCACAAGCTGGTTTGGCTGCTATAGCCGAGAAGCGTGCAAAGAAAGATGTTACCATCTTAGAATTGATTGCGCAACAGGTAAGACTTCAACATTTTCAATTTCTAGGAATCTCTAATTAGGTGACCGACGCTAACGTTATATTGTAATCAAATTTTTCATCACGATTATGAGTACATGTATATCTTCATCTTTGATACCAAAAGTAATCATCATATAGTAAAATGTAAATATGAATATTTGTAATAGTATCTACGCTATTATTATTTATTGTTGAATTTAAAATCATAAATGATGATGAGTAGGCCTTTGTAGATCTTCGTATTTTTTTTCCAAATACAGTTATCATACAGTAAAAAGTAAACATGGGTGGAAATGAGGATTTAGGATGAAACAACCCAACCCATTTTCCATCTACATGATATAAAATGGCCCGGGTTAAACGTCCTACTTTTCTGCATTGACTGTGCTATGAGTGAAACCACACTGGTAAATCCTGATGAACTTTCTCAGCCAACACTTGGATCAAACCCGGACCCCCTGGATAGTGAGCCAAAGCCTTACTCACTCTCAAAAACAAAACGTCAAATAAATGCAACCTTATATGTTACCCTTTTTTCTTAGGACGCTCCTGAAGAATCAGTAGCTAGTACTAGTACACAGTCAATGGAAGCAATTCCGTCAACATCCTCTGGCATAAGGACCAGGCGAACATTTTCTAGACTGTTTGGAAAACCAGAGTGATTCAGATAAAGATTTCGTTGATCCAGTGAAGTATCTATCCTCGTCTACAAGTGATAATGATCTACGTTCATCCCCTTCCTTGTATGTGCCTACACCAATTAGAAAATTACAGTCTAAATATGACTGAGGTTACGCCTGGTAAGTAGCTTATGCATCTCAGGTTTTCTCTGGATGTCCCATTTGTTAGATTAACAAATTATTTGAGCAAAGCAGGTCAAAAATTAATCCATGAGTAAAATTTCCAGCTGCTTCATGTATTCTTCCTTTTGTCTGATTTTCTCATTTTTATTGTGAACGAAATGTACATGTATTTATTTATATATTTTTATTTTTTTTATTTATCTCATTTTATTGTTCATTTCAGAACAAGAGATCCAGCAAATCAGCATGAAAATTTTAAATCTTCAACGGAAAAAGACTGAATTGCAGACAGCTATATCAGTTACAGAGCCCATGTGTGAAGAAACAGAAGAAGTTTCGGTTAATGACACTCATTGTCTTTTTATTGGCGAGACAGATAAAATTTTGTCTCTGATGGATTCTGTCAACAGAGGTAGAAGCTGTAAAACTAAATATTGCCAAGGTAAGGTCCTTCCTTGTTCATAATGTAATAATAAATCAATCTTAATATTCCCGGTCAGGGTCATTTGATTTCCTGTGCTTGTCGTATATAATTGATCGCTTTTTTCATCTATTTTCATAAAATTTTCTCTGTTTTTCTTTTGTGATCATACATGTACATGTATAATACATATAGGTGGGTAAATATAACAATATGATAGGGGGGACCTAGAACAAACTGCAACAGAAATCATTTCTTTGGGAACTGCTCAGGTATGGTCTCTAGTACTCCCATAACAAAAGTGGCCATTATCGGTCTTGGGGAAATTTGCATAAATAACTTAATTCCAAGATGGCCGCCAGTGGACTAGAAAATCGACAAATATCAATTAAAAAAATGTATTTTTCATATGGTGCCGAGCAGTTCTTTCAAAGTGGCTGCCAAATTTGGTAATATAATGCAATTTAAAAAACCCCAACATAAATATGGTAATAAAAGGGCAGCGATAATTTCGTAAGATATGACTTTTGCTATGACATTTATATGGTTTTCGATGTCCGAATTAAAAGATAAATTTCGAAAATCCAAAATGGCAGCAACACAAATCGGCAGATGTTAATTTAATCGTCATTTTTCCTTGTTGGATATTACTTGTAACATGTCATTTACATGGTTCTCGATGTCGCTGGGTTCAATACTGATCTCAAAAATGACTCCATGATGGCAGGAATTCAAAATGGTGGGCAAAGTGTTTTCCAAATTTGCGGAATTTGGTTACATATCTTATATATGTGTTTTGGAGTTGTTGGTACAACTCTGATCTCAAAAATAAATTTTGAGAATTCTTGATGGTAGAAATTCAAAATGGTCGGCAAAATGAAATCTAAATTGGTGCTATTTTAATTCACCGTCAGTTTTTCCCGTTGGATATGTCTTATATGTGGATTTGGTGGTTTTTAAGGTTACTGAATTCAATGTTGGGTTCAAAACTTAATTTCAAATAGGATTGTCACCCACCAAATTTGTGTGTAAGCTAGAAACATCAGGACAAATTACAGAAATCATCTTTTACGGTCAGTTTTGTAAAAGCAAGGACAGAACCTCACCGGACCTCCAATAGAGTGGGAACCCCTCG